CGACGATCTCTCTTTGGAACTCACCACCCTTCTTCAATGTCCGTACATGTCAAGGTACACAATTTCACTTTTTTTTTTTTTTATCTTTGCCGCTTCTTTCTTTTCTAGTTCATGCCCATATTTTATTCTTACTCTGCACTTGTCGATATGTCGCATCTTTGGTTTCGTCTGATGATCTAAACTGTTTTTGTTCAGATTTCACGTTTTTACGATCTAGGGTAATCAGAAAGTCTCAAGCTTTATTCAATTTAAACACTAATAAGCTAATAGAATGGTATAGAAACTCAGTTTGAATTACTGTAGAAAGATGAAATTCATAGGATTGTGTTGAGCCTGAAGTTCATGGATTACGAGAAGAAGCTTGATTTTTTAAAATTAAGTTAACCCAATGGAATAAAAAAAAGAAAGAAAGCTTGTTCTTTTAAAAGGCATGAAAATTTTATTAGTTTTTAACGTTGTTTAGGAAGAACCTTTGCTTGTGCCAAACTGCTGCAATGTCGAGAATCCAGAGCTTGCAGTTTTCAATGGAAATGGGGAAAACGAGCTTGAGGATTTCGGGACTTGCGTAGACGTTCTTACTGCGAGAGTAACTCAGGTGACAATTGCTTTCACTCGGCGCCACTACTCTTTTTATTTTCGACTTTCTTACAGCCATATTGTTGGACTTGCAGCTTGAGCAAAAAGTTGTGGAGGTTGAACAGTTTTACTCTACCAAAGATGGAGCAGCTCAAACAAATACTTCTAAGAGTAACTCGGGCGGGAAAAAGATCGCTATTTCACAACCAAACATCTCCAAGTGTAACTCAGCAGGGAAAGAAAAAACAAAGGGAAAACATGTTTCTAGCCCTGAACTTATGCGCCAATTTGCAACAATTTTTCGACAGGCAAGCAGGAAATAATATCCCTTTTTCTTTTTTTTTAATGATACGATTTCTAGAAAACGAAGAAAATTTGAAGTCTGGAACTTGGATTACTTTGTTTAATGCTTCCTTATTTGCCCATTTTATACCGTTTACTCAGTGTTTGCTACATTCGAACCTTTTGTCTTCGTGTACCTCTTAGCTTGCTCAGCATAAATGGGCATGGCCGTTTTTGGAACCTGTTGATGTTAAAGGACTTGGACTCCATGATTATTACAAGGTAAATATCAATGTTGGTTTTATGGTAAAATACAAGTCCAGATGGAACTTTGCTGGGATAAGTGTTTCGATAAATGTTGATAGCTTCTGTTCATTACTTACCAGGTTATTGAGAAACCAATGGACTTGGGAACGATCAAAAATAAAATGGAGAGTTCGGGGTATAGCAATGTCCGGGAGATATATGCTGATGTTAGACTAGTTTTCAAGAACGCGCTGAGATATAACGAAGAAAAAGAGGATGTCCATGTGATGGCTGAATCTCTGTTGCAGAGATTTGAAGAGAAATGGCTTCTCATAATGCCTAAACTCGTCGAAGAGGTACACGAAAATGTTCATTTTTCCAAGTATTCTTTGTTTTAATGTTAGTAATGTGTTTGTTAACTGCTTTGATATGAACAGGAAAAGAAACAAGCAGAAGAAGAAGCTGAGGGTCGTGTGAATAAACAGCTTGCTCTGGAGGCTGCTCAAGCGGACATGGCTAGGGAATTAAGCAACGAAGTAAGCAAAAAAGCAAAACCCTTTTTTGGAGCTGTTTCTCCGTTTCATGCCATTGATTACAGACTTTACAGTAGCTCGGTTTGATGAGTTTTTGCACGTATCTTTAGCTATATGAGATCGATATGGAGCTGGAGAGACTCCGAGAAACAGTAGTTCAGAGATGCAGGTTTTAACTAACAACACCTTCTGCCTAGCTGTTTCCTCGCTTCTAATCATCTTACCCTAAGGTTCTTAACTGAGTTTTTCGTTTGATATTGAAATGAACAGAAAACTGTCTACTCAAGAAAAGAAGGGACTTTCTGCAGCTCTAGGCCGACTCTCTCCTGAGGATCTGTCCAAGGCGTTAAAAATGGTTTCTGAGAGCAACCCGGATTTCCCGGCTGGAGCACCAGAAGTCGAGCTTGACATCGATGTTCAGGTAAAGCCCTCATATCTTTCTTAATCCAGTTGGTTTGTTGTTTTGCATCAGAATTTTGTGTTTCAAGGGTTGTTTTTGTGAACAGTCTGATGTTACTTTGTGGAGACTGAAGGTGTTTGTGCAAGAAGCACTGAAAGCAGCTAACAAGAGCTGTGGAGGAACAAACGCCCCAAACAATAACAATACTGGAGAGATTAACAAGAACAATGCGAAAAGACGAAGAGAGATCTCTGATGCGATAAATAAAGCTTCAATTAAAAGAGCTAAGAAGGCTTGAATACTTGTTAATTTCGCTTTCTGTTTGTAATATCTCCTCAAGAAACAAAATGAGTTTGGTGAACACCAATCTAAATTAGAGCGAATCTCCATTGCACATTTTGCCTAAAACGTTCAGCACAATGTAGACATTAGAAAAGACAAAAGACGTTTTGTTGCAAAAAGTTATACTCCAAAATAACCGGATGGGATGACAGTAATTACCTGAATTACGTGGGTTTTCACTTAAAATTTACCATAATACCCCTGATTTTTTTCTCAATTCAATTCAATTTCTACATCCAACATATTGTTTTTTTTTCATAGGGATATTTGTGAGAAAAAAAAAACTTATAAAACTTTTTATAATTAACAATCTAACTAAAAATCTTTTATGTGACAAAATTATAACCACTAATTCGGTTAGATTGTCAATTATAATATATTTTTTTGTTATTACATAAATTAACCATTTTTCATACGAAAACACTTTTTTATAGATTTTTTTTTAATTAAAAAATGGTGTATGTGGAATGTTACAACATGGTAAAATATTACGTAAGAACACAATAGAAGAAAGAGCAACTACAAAAGATAAAAAAAGCATATACTTCAATCACAAAGATCCATTTGTGAATCATCGAGCTAAAGAAGATGAGTGTGTCAACACAAACCAATACGAACGTCAGAATAGGAAGATAATTGCCCAAACAATACTCTCTAATTAACTCAATGTTCCCAACATGCCGAGATAGAGCAACTGAAATTAGAAGGGGGCCAACTGAAGGATTCAAACATATCCTCAAACAAAATCAGTGTTCACATAATTGCCCAAACAATACTCTCTTTTTTGGTTTTTTTTTTTTTAACCCTCTTCCCTTTTCATATATCGCACATAATTTTTTTTTTTGTAAAAACACTTTATCATCAATTTTTGTTAAAATTTATTTATCTTTACGATTTAATGATATTTTCTTAATTTCATATACAACAATGCCTGTACATGGAAATGTAGACG